GCATGTCTTCAAGTTTGCATCTTCGGAGGTGAAGTCCACTTGATATAGGTTGTTGTATCTAAATCTCTTGAATATCACTTGATCATCATCTTTCTTGGATACAACCACTTCCTTCTCGGTAAATAGGCATTGAAAGCCAAGATCACACAATTGTCCAATGGATAGCAAGTTGAAACTCAATGAAGCAACATATAGCACATTTGAGATTGAATGATCATTTGATATTGCCACTTTGCCCAATCCTTTAACTTTGCCCTTTGAATTATCTCCAAATGTGATTCTTTCTTGTCCATCTACTTCTTCATCTAGTGAGGTGAACATACAAGGATCACCGGTCATATGTTGTATGCAACTACTATCAATTACTCAATGACTTCCACTGGTCTTGTAGTTCACCTACACATAAGAGATCAAGCTTTAGGAACCCAAATTTGTTGAGGGCCCTTGACTTTCTCAACAAGTGACTTTGCTACCCAATTTTTCTTAGGCCTATTCTTGTTGGGAGGTCCTAAGAACATAACTTTCATCTTTCCACTAGAGTCCTTTCTAAGCATGTAATGAGCATTGAAAGCAAAGGGTCTAGCATGCTTGGGCAAGGGTTGTGGTGGTGGAGTTTGACACTCATGGGCAAAGTGGCCTTCTTGTCCACACTCAAAACACCTCTTTGGCTTTGGCTTTGACTTGTGTTGTTGTTGTTGTTGTTGTTGAGCTTGAGCCTTCTTCTCTTGGTTTGCCAAATACCCAATGCCACTTCTATCCATCTTCATGACGGTGTTCATTAGTAGCTCACTTTGAAGATGCTTGCCTCTTGTGAACTTGCTCAATCCAATCTTGAGATGCTCTTTCTCCAACTTGAGCTTCTTGTTCTCTTCCTTGAGTGCATCATTATTTTTCTCTTCCTTGAGTTTCTTGTTCTCTTCTTTGAGCTTCTCATTCTCAAGAATCAAATCACCATCATGATCAAGAGTTTCTAGCACTATAGTGTTGGTGGTTTTGAGCTCTTCAAGATCTTTCTTAAGCTTTTCATTATCATGCTTGAGCTTGACATACTCATCATAGTTGTCGGTTTCAACCACTTGCTTGCCTTTGCCACTAGATCCTTGCTCAATGCTCTCAACAATTAAATCATCACATGATGTAGCTATATCAATCTTAACAACATCGTTAGTAGCATCATGTGGCTCATTGGATAAAATTTTTTGAGCGATAACAAGATTATCATGATTGATCTTAAGAGTTGTATATTCTTCTTTTAGCATATTGTGGCTAGTGATGAGCTCATTATGTATCCTCTCAAGTTTATCATGTTTTTCTTTAAGCTCTTTCTTAGAAGATTTGAGCTCCTTGAGTTTGGATGACATAGCATCATTTGCTTCTCTAAGCTCAACACTAGCATTTTCCGCTATGTCACATTTAGCTAAAAGAGAGTCATTCTTAATTTCAAGCTTTTCATTCTTAGCTTTTGACTTTCTAATGATCTTAGTATATTGATTTAGCAATTTAACAAGATCATCATATGAAGGTGATTCAAATTCATCATCATCACTATCACTATCACTATCATCATTATTAGCATGATCATCACCACTACTATCATCATCATTTGATGCCTTTCGTTCACCCTTGGCCATAAAGCATAGGTGTGTAGAGGATGATGGCGGTGGTGTCGGTGAAGATGATGAAGAGTCAATCACAATGGCGGCCACCTTCTCGTTGTCACTATGATCATCGGATGAGCAACTAGATGAATCAATGTCCGTGAGCCAATCATCGATGATGTAAGCCTTCCCATTTTTCTTCTTCTTGTGGAAGTCCTTCTTCTTGCCATCTTTCTTCTTGTATGGCTTGTTTTTCTTCTTTTCATCTTCATCTTCATCACTTGAGTCATCTTTCTTGCCCTTGTTCTTCTTCTTGTACTTGCTTTCTTGGGCTTGGTGTATTGATGTGCTAGATGACCAAGTTCTCCACAATTATAGCAATCCATCTCGGAGATTGGCTTCCTTCTAGTGCTAGTGAAGAACTTCTTTTTCGTGCCATCGAACTTGATGCCACTCTTGTTGAGCTTCTTTAGCATCTTGGCCGTTCTTCTCACCATGAGAGCAAGACTTGCATCATCAACTTCACCATCACTTGAGCTCTCATACTCAATTCTTGCTTTGCCTTTCTCTTGGCAAGCCTTGAATGCTAAGTCTTTGTCTTTCTTCTTGGTAGAGGATGAGCCATATTGTGGTGTGATGTGCATGTATATCTCATGAGCATTGATCTTTCCCAAGATTTGGGTCGGTGTAACGGTGGAAATATCACCTTGATGAAGCATGGTCACAATATGCCCATATTTATCAATGGAGAGGACACTCAAGATTTTTCTTACAACATCAGATGGTTGCATTTGAGTGAGTCCAAGCCTATTGACTTCCTCAACAAGAACATTCAAGCGTGAGTACATTTCATTAGCACTCTCTTTTGGAAGCATCTCAAAAGAATTAAGCTTTTTCATTATGAGATGATAGCGTTCCTCACGCTCGCTGTTAGTTCCCTCATGGAGTGCACAAATGTCTGACCATAGTGCATGAGCGTCCTCGTGGTTCCTCACCCGGTTAAACACATCTTTGCAAAGGCCTCCAAAGATGGTGTTTTGAACCTTTGCATTCCATTTCTCATAGTTCACTTCATCGCCTTGAAGGTGCGTGGGATCCTGAGATTTTGGGAATCCTTGTGAGGCGGCTCTAAGTATTCCAACATCTAGAGCTTCTAAATACGCCTCCATGCAGATTTTCCAATAAGGAAAATCATCCTCCTCAAAGATTGGAGGAGGTCCATCCCCATGAGACATCTTTCTCTAGGTGGTTAAGCCTAAATACGTGAGCACGAGGCTCTGATACCAATTGAAAGGATCAAGATGCCCAAGAGGGGGTGAATTGGGCAAATTCTAAAATTCTTTGCAATAATTAAACCCTACGGATAGCCCACTTCACCCCTTGTGCCTAGAAACTGTTCCTATTGTTCTACTGCACAAAAGTTTAGCAACCTATGTTCCAATCCTACTCTAGCATGGCATGTAAAGACAAGAATTGAATTGCTCAAAGTAAATGCTTAAAGTAAATAGAGAAGGAAGAACGCGGTGATGTTTTGCCGAGGTATCGGAGAGTCACTACTCCCCACTAGTCCTCGTCGGAGCACCCGCGCAAGGGTGTAACTCCCCCTTGATCCGCGCAAGGATCAAGTGCTCTCTACGGGTTGATTCTTCGACACTCTGTCACGGTGAATCACCCACAACCGCTCACAACTCGAGTTGGGTCATCCATAAGCTCCGCCAGATGATCACCAAACTCCCAATCACCACCAAGCCTTCTAGGTGATGGCGATCACCAAGAGTAACAAGCACGAACTCTCACTTGACCACGACAAGCCTAATGAGAAGGGTGGATGCACACTTTGCTACTCTTGCTTTCACTAATGAGGCCTCTCTCTTGGATTCTCAAATCTCAATCACCTCACTAGGACCTTGCTCTTCTTGGCACTCTCAAGGGTGTTTCTCAGCTTTTGGAATGAGCAAAAGTGATCCCTTGAGTGAATAGAAGAAGTATTTATAACCCCTCATTCAAAACAAATCGTTATGTGCCACTATAGGGTGACCGGACGCTCCGGTCAAGGTGACTGGATGCTCCAGTCAGTTCTCCCCTCCACCAAGCAGTTAAGTTGTGACCGGACACTGGCCAGCGTCCGGTCAGCACTGACCGGACGTGTTCGGTCATGAAAACTGCCCTCTGGAACCTTACTGATGTTGACCGAACTCTAGAACCCAACGTCCGATCAGCACTGACCGGACACGTCCGATCAGGATTCTCCCTCTCTGGAACCTCACTGGAGTTGACCGGACTCTGGCACCCAGCGTCTAGTCATACCTCACTCAGCATTCGGTCGCATCCAGATGACTTCACCTTGATCAAATGAACTGACTGGACTCTACGCCAGCGTCCGGTCACACCAAAACCAGCGTCCGGTCAACATTTGACCCTTCATTCACTTTCAACTCCTAATCATATGTGAATGAAGTTTGCTTCAATTGATCTTAGGGCTATTTAGGAGCTACCTAGTGCTAGATTTGACAAGTGTGCACCACACCTAACCCACTAGACTCACCTAGGTAAAGCTACCCATCCATACCCCCCTTAATAGTACGGTCAAAGCAAAAACAAAGTCCTAAACTACTCTAAGTGTTTCAACACCAAACGACACTTAGAACTAGTCCATCCTTAACCTTGTCATCCATCTTTTGAAAACCAAAATGATTTCCATCATAGGGGCATGACAACCATGATTGCCCAATTAATTGCTATTATCGTGACCTAACTTAATTGCCTCTGCAAAACACACGTTAGTCACAGTAATCACGTATTGTCATTAATCACCAAAACCCAACTAGGGGCCTAGATGCTTTCACTACCCCAACCAATAACCTCCGCAGACATGACCTCTCCTAGATGCACCCAAAAAACTAAATCCAAAAATAGCACACCTTTGAAACGAACGTACCCGATTCCCTCTAACCTCTCCTTTCTCTTACTCAAATCCAACGGCCCCCATATTCTTTGCATAAAACCGTCATCACTCATCCCACCCTGCGTCCACCCCACTCTCTCTCCCCCGATGCCTCCTCTCCCACATGACCACACGCGCAACTCCCTCTCTCCCCCGATGCCTCCTCTCCCACATGCGCCAGTCGCGGGCTCCGACGTTCCTCTCCCCACAGCACGACTAGGGCAAGCAATCCCGGGCCCCTCGCACGGTGGCGGCGGCCAACGAGATCAGGGCAGCCTGGATCTATGCGCCCCTCCCGTGCTAGGCACTGGCCGAGCGACGGCTAGCCAGGATGGCAGCTGGCCAGGACAGCCAGCCCACTATGGCCTGGAGGTCAGGGCGGCCTGGATTGTGCCCCCAACCACCCTTCCATGCTAGGCACTAGCAGCCAGGCCAGCCAGCCCACGACAACCTGGACGATGGATGTCGCCTACATCGTCGGGCGCAACGGGATCCTCACATGGAGAAACAGCACGCTGCAGCTCAGCCTCTCCAAGGTGGAGAAGGTAAGTAATGCCCGCCTGAGTCCCTCTTCTCGATCTGTGTTGTTCACATTAGTGGTGGAACCGAGGTTTCACGAATCTTTGGGGAGGATACGGGCTAAGCAGTTGGGTCCTGATTGACTTTTGAGTCCCTAAAATCATTCGTTGATTTCATGGTCTACAGGCGGCGTCAGGCGCGGTTGCGTGCCAACTAATGGACGCGGCGCATCCCGGTGTCGTGCCGATGCACAAGGTTAATTTCGGCGCCAAGATGGAAACATGATTTAGAATTACAAGGTCCTGCAGGACTAGTGTAAGGCGCGCGCCCTCACGTGCGTGGGTACGCAGAATGCACGAGGGCAAGCAGAATGTAGATGTTCTATATGGAAAACATATGTTTAATTTATGAATTGAAAAACCGCAAACAGTATGCAGTGCAAATATGTAGACATAGAGAAGCGGTATATTGCTCTCCACAACTTAACATAAAATATGATGGAACATCATTGCACATTCATAGGAAGTTTTTGTCCAAGAGACAAGACACCACCAAGTTAGATGGAGGCCTCAAGCTTAGGATAACCAGCGGTTGCATAAGGTAGACAAGTGATCATGGGCTTCCTAATTCCCATCATCTTCCACATGGTATTGCTAATAGACTTGAAGCTTTAGGTGTCCTATGAGTCCTGTGCAAAGTGTTACAAAATTGTGGGGAAATGTTTAACAAAATGCTTAAAAGAATCTCAGAACTCTTAACGCCCATTTATATTAAAACTGAGGAAGGCCAACACTGAAAAGAATGCATTACATGTTGGGTCATATATGAAGGAAATTAAACAACTGATCAACCTTTGTATAAAATGCAGGTCCTGTCTACACATTGAACCATTTCCAGCCTCTTCCACACGTACTGCTTATAGTCTTGAAGCTCTAGGCATCGTATGAGTCATTTGAAAAGTGATTAAAAAATATGGAAAAAAATGCTTAACAAAATGCTGAAAAAGAATCTTAGAACTGTTAACACTCATTCACCTTTTAAACTGAGGAAGGCCATCACTGAAAAGAATGCACTCCATGTTAGGTTATGTAGAGAAAACCAGACAACCAATATGATAAACCTTCGTATAAAATGCAGGTCCTCTCAAGACATTAAACGAGGTTTTGTAGCTAATCTAAGAGTAAACTAACAATGCCACAAAGAATAGTACAAAATAAATACTACCATGTAATCAGAAAAAAGGTAATCAACTGTCATTTTCGAATATGCATGTTTAAATAACGAAAATTTTGGTTAATCAATTGGTACTGGTTAGGATTAGATAGCAATAACCAAAAACGGTAATCCTATGTATGAATCCAAAAATTTAATCCTAATTAACAGTGTGAGTTAATTACATCTCATTGGTATTAGGCAAAAGGAAAAAAGCGGAAACTGTTATATTCATGCAGTTAACATCGTATATCCTCCAAGAACATAATCTTTTGTTCATCCAATGAAGTGATTCATGGTTTTGCGAAGAAAGGTATAATGTAGTTAACCAAGAAATTTAACAAAAGGGATGACCAGGCAAATGTACCTCTAAGGACAAGAAGCACAATATAGCTGAGGTAGTAAAGAAGCAAGGTTGAGACAAACTTTTGACATTCAGTTTATGATGTGTCTATCATGGGGAATGGAAAGGTTCTTTCTTATAGGAAAAGGTACTTCCATCTATATATTATCAGAGGGAATATGAGTGACAGGTGGTGTAGACATTAAAATGGCAAAAGCCTAATTAGCCATTTAACTCGATCATGTGAAGCTAAGAAATTGCATGCTGTAGCCCGATATTAGAACCAATTACTCAACAAAAAACTACTTGATGCAAAAACCGTAAGCGACGAGGATGCCATGTTTCATGGAGAAGAGGTGATGCTGCGGCTTAAGGATAGATGATCGAATACCTTGGGAAGGTGTGGTCCTCTCCCTCCATCATTGAGTGTTTCTTGTGTAGGGGTGTACCCTGTGTATGGAGTTCTTAAGAGATGGGAGTAGGTAGGCCTAAATCGAGTGAGACAAATGAATAAACACATTTCCAAACATACTCTGCATCTATTTTTGTGTTCATCATCAAAAGTACAGATCAACAATTTGTCCATAGCCCAGCGGCAAAAGAACCTAAACAAACAGTCTAAGCAGCAAAACCTTTTTAAGGAAACAATGCCATTGGCTTCCTATATCTTCACACCTCTCTGAATCACATTGCCTAATAGCAGACAACAATAAATGTCAATTCAGTAGCTTTGGCTGCCAGAGAAAGAGACACACAAGCTACCTTTTTACAAAACTAATCCCTGGAAATTATAGTCCACGACAAGAAACCCATACATATTTTGTACTCCTAGGTACGATACTACCTGCAGGGCAGCTAGTTCATCTGCACAAGCATGATCTGACTGCACAGGAATCCAAACGAAAATGGTCTATAGAACCTGAATGAAACCTGGCAGCGGCAACTCAATCTCCACCCCGCACATGACAGGCCCATCCTCAGGAATTTCACAAACCAAAGACACATAGAGTAAAGAACAAAGAAATCAGTAATCAGACACTCGATGCGCAGCCGCTAAGAACAAAAAACTTAAGCAACTCAATGAAATCAGACACACCAGACCACACTGCAAGCCTAAAAGACAGGGAGGAAAACAAAGCAGCTGAGGGAAAGAAAGTCATCGAATCTAGCTGATCTGTTCAATTCGATTTCCTAGAAACAACACCTCCCTCTCATTGGCCACCCTGCAACATAGAGCACGAAGAAAATTTAAGTACAGAAATCTGAGCCATCAATTCGTTACACTAATTGTAATGGCAGGGAAATTTGGGGTCTATTGTTAGGGAGTTACCGCTTAAGTAGCCCTGAACAGTATGGGCAAAACCTTGGAAAACATAGACCACTTAATGTGATAGATCACATCTCCTAGCAAAAACATAGAATCCAATTAATAAACAATTTCATGTCTTCACACTGCATGAGTAGAAGGCAATGAGTATCAACCTACAAATTCTGCTAAGCCAAATAGAAAATTATCAACCATAAGTTTTGAGCTCATTTTTTAGATAACATCAGCCAAGCAGAGATCTGCGATCTGACCTACTCATATGTTTTTTTATTACAAAATCATCAAAAAGAATCAGCACTCTGCTCTCATAGTCTAGCCCAACTATTCTCAGGAGTAAAAAACCAACAACCCCAAGTTGTTAAGAGTATTTTTTTGTAACCTTTTTCTGTCGTTGTGGATATCAGAAGCTCATTTTCCAATAGTTCTGCAAAAATCACCGATTTTCAGTAATGCATAAAGAATGAGCAATACAAAAAAATCACTGAGGAAAGTACTCTTGCTTAACAACAAAATTGTGGATCATCAATAATCACAATGTGTAGACCTTCTCAAACATTAGACAACATAAATCTTAGATACCAATGTCAATTTCAGTTTCAAATATACTGGAAGGAAAAACTAAACTTATATATGATTTTACATCCCTAAAAAAGAATCCATAAATCCATTCCTGCCTTGGCATCCTATTGGCAAAGAGACATAGGGAAACACATACTTGACCCAGAATTTGGATGCTGATCGCTTTCAGGACTCATACAGGAAGACCTTTCCTACATGAAAATGTAGTTAAGAACAATAGCTCCTGCACTAACTACAAAACTCTAAGCCCATGATCCCTAAGATTGCTTCCTAGGAAGCCATGCCAGGGAGTTATATTATGGGGAAACGGATAGAAGGAACATATATTATTTTGTTTAGTCACCAACAATGAAATTAAGATACCTGAGCAATTCACAGGTGGATGAAGCTATGCCCATGTCCAATACAACAACAACAACAACAACAACAACAAAGCCTTTAAGTCCCAAACAAGTTGGGGCAGGCTAGAGTTGAAACCCAGCAGAAGCAATCTAGGTTTCGACACGTGAATAGCTGTTTTCCAAGCACTCCTATCTAAGGCTAAGTCTTTGGATATATTCCATCCTTTCAAGTCTCCTTTTATTGCCTCTACCCAAGTCAACTTCGGTCTTCCTCTGCCTCTCTTCAAGTTACTATCCTGGCTTAGGATTCCACTATGCACCGGTGCCTCTGGAGATCTCCTTTGGACATGTCCAAACCATCTCAACCGATGTTGGACAAGCTTTTCTTCAATTGGTGCTACCCCTAATCTATCACGTATATCATCGTACCGAACTCGATCCCTTCTTGTATGACCGCAAATCAAACGCAACTTACGCATTTCCGCGACACTTATCTGTTGAACATGTCATCTTTTCTTAGGCCAACATTCTGCACCATACAACATATAAGATCTAATTGCCATCCTATAAAACTTGCCTTTTAGCTTCTGTGGTACCCTTTTGTCACATAGGACACCAGATGCTTGGCGCCACTTCATCCACCCTGCTTTGATTCTATGGCTAACATCTTCATCAATATCCTCGTCTCTCTGTAGCATTGATCCTAAATATTGAAAGGTATCCTTCCTAGGCCCTACTTGACCTTCCAAACTAATATCTTCCTCCTCCCGAGTAGTAGTGCCGAAGTCATATCTCATATACTCAGTTTTAGTTCTACTGACTCTAAAACCTTTGGACTCCAAAGTCTCCCGCCATAACTCCAGTTTCTGATTCACTCCTGTCCGGCTTTCATCAACTAGCACTACATCATCCATGAAAAGCATACACCAAGGGATGTCCCCTTGTATGTCCCTTGTGACCTCATCCATCACTAAGGCAAACAGATAAGGGCTCAAAGCTGACCCTTGATGTAGTCCTATCCTAATCGGGAAGTCATCCGTGTCTCCATCACTTGTTCAAACACTAGTCACAACATTGTTGTACATGTCCTTAATGAGCCCGATGTACTTCGTTGGGACTTTATGTTTGTATCTAGAGTAGTCATCAACAATCACAAAACAATCACTCTTGTGGTCATATGTTGTGTGCAACCACTATCAATTACTCAATGACTTCCACCGGTCTTGTAGTTCACCTACACACAAGAGATCAAGCTTTAGGAACCCAAACTTGTTGAGAGCCCTTGACTTTCTCAAAAAGTGACTTTGCTACCCAATTTTTCTTAGGCCTATTCTTGTTGGGAGGTCCTAAGAACATAACTTTCATCTTTCCACTAGAGTCCTTTCTAAGCATGTAATGAGCATTGAAAGCAAAGGGTCTAGCATGCTTGGGCAAGGGTTGTGGTGGTGGAGTTTGACACTCATGGGCAAAGTGGCCTTCTTGT